AAGTGAAAAAAAAACAAAAAAAATGAGGTCCTTCCCAGATAAGCAAAATTAAGGAAATTTGTCAAAAAAAAAAAAAAAAAAAAAAAGTTTAAGCCAGACCAACCTCATAAGAAATGCTAACTAGAGTCCTTTATACAGAGAACCAACAATGTCAGAATATAACCTGAGATTAAGACATGGAACCATCACCCAGAAACCAATCCAGATAAGTAATTTTCAAAAACAAAAATTAACCTACAAGACTGAAAATAGGGACATGAACAGACTCTTCACCAAAGAGTTATAAGGTGACCAGCAAACACATGAAGACATGCTGTGGTCATTAACCATTAACAAGATGCAAATACAAACAACAAATTAGATATCATCTCATCCTGGCATAAATAGAAAAGTTTAAAAAAACAGAAAATGATAAATGATGGCAAATGTGTGGAGAGATTGGAATTTTTATATACCATTGGTGAAAACCACTGTGGAAAATGGTAGATTGCATGAGAACACTATCATAAAAAAATCAAGAAATGTTAACACAGAAACAGTCATTCTTTAATGGTGCAAAAATATTGACAACAAGCCATTATTGCCAAACCCTCTCTATTCCTCAGTTAGGTATGGTAATCTGTTGCAGACCATACAGAACTCACACACCATACTAACAATTATGGGTATTAGTAGGGAAGTTAGCAGGTTACAATACAGGATCAGAAAATGTTCGGGGCACAGTTGTAGTAGTCAGCTGCTGATAAATACCCACAGGACACACCACTCCATCATAAGCCTCAGTCTGAACACCGTCAGCTCTAGTTCCCTGGGCCAACAAACATAGCTCCCTTACTTAAGTGTCTGCATGCATCCCATTCTACAAGCAAGCTTTCTGCCAAAAGTCACTCAGCTTTACTTGCTCCATTAACTGGGAAGTCCCACTTCTCTGTCTTATGCTCTGGTTCTTGATTCTACTGCGGCTGCTGCTACTCTGCCACTCCTCTGATGTCACAGCTTTCTGTACCTGGGTTGAGGAGGTTCAATGTGCAGTAATCTCAGTGTCCAAAGGAAAATTTCCATTCCTGGTCTTTTTTTCTTTGATGGTAGTGAGATACCCGCTTCTGCTTCTGAGATGGCTCATTTTAAACCCACACTAGAATTTTGAGTTTTTATCATTACAATTAACACTGATAACATCTACAACTGAATCAAGTCATCCCATCAGTATCTTCTCCTACCTTCTCTTACTCAGACCCAGCATGGCAGAAACATTTGATGGGAGTTACATATGCATGTGAATGTTGGACAATGAATAAGGAAGAATGTAGAAGAATCAGTGAGAATTTTTGTAGAAGAATCAATTGAGTTATTGTGTTGAAGGAGTATATTAAAAGTACCATGGACTGCCAGAAGAATAAACAAATCTGTGTTGGAAGAACTACAGCCAGAATTCTCCTTAGAAGCCAGGATGTCCAGACATCGTTTCTCATACTTTGGCCATATTATAGGGGGAACAATCCTTGGAGAAGGACATCATGCTTGGTAAAGTGGAGGGTCAGCAAAAAGAGGAAGATTCCCAACAAGATGGATTGGCATAGTGGCAGCAGCAATGGGCTCAAGCGTAGCAAAGATTATAAGATTGGCACAGAACTGGGCAATGTTTCATTCTGTTGTGTATGGAGTTGCTATGAGTCTGTACCAGTACAGCTCCACAGCACCTAACAGCAACAAACATACCATGACTAGAAGAGACATTAGATAATTCTCTACACCACAGATGGCTACCAGGGAGAGGAGATCAGTAACTAGAAAGTAGACATGTATTAACTTGGATGAAGGGAAAGGCAATATATAATAAGGGAATTATGTTGTCAGCACAACACATTCAAGGTGCAGGGGGACATTGCTGTGCATGAGAATAAAAGACAAGAAAGATAAATACTATTATATACACAAGCCTGCAACAGCAGTAATAACAACCAATAATCTACAAGTAGATATATAAGTAGACATGAAAGCTGAACAGATATAAGAAGGTGAATGAGAGTATGTAGTGCCTTGAATTTACTTGTTTTGGCTTTTCTATCCAACGTCTAACTAATTTCCACCAAGAGATTGGATGGAACCACGCAAATGAGGTATACAGAACTCTGTAGCTGGGATTGGTTAGTTTTGCCCTCAAGCTAGGTCTAAAAGGAGACATCTTAAAAGCAGAAACTGAGGATCCCAGAACCATCAAGAGGGAAGAGCATGAGTGACATGTGAGATCCCTATTCAGAGAAACTGCAACAGCAGAGGTGACAGCAGAGGCAGTGGCATGGAGAGACAGAGAAGTTTTAGGCTGAAGGTGTATGGATTGAGTAAAGCTGAGTGCCTATGGGAAGGAGTTTGGCTTGAAGAATGTGCCCTTTGGGCATTCACAGACTTGCAAAAAGAACTTTGTAACAGATGCTTAAGCAGGGCAGAGGTCAAGAGAACACATGACTAAGAGGCTGTAACAAGAGTGAGGTATGCCTGTAGTATGGCAGACAAGAGGTGTTCCTGCCTGGAGAACTGCTGTGTCCTGAGTTAATTTTGATACTAAATGTACCCTGTTCACTTCCCTAATAAACCCCATAATCATGAGTATTCTTATGAGTTCTATGTGGCCATTGCAATGGATTATTGAACCCAGATGTGAAGGAAAGAGTGCTATGGGAAGAATGGTTGGTGTCAGAGTATAGTTAAGAAGGTTGTAGGGTGGACCTCTGTTTCATAGAAATTAGTCTTCGGTTGATTTTGCATTTGATTCTTTCCCCCTTGTGAAGCCAGGGGAAGTCAGGCATGGTCTTTACATAGTTCTAACACAGTACAATCACAAATATATATAAGATTGTTGTTGTTGTTGTTAGGTGCCATCAAGTCAGTACTGACCCATAGCAACCTTATGCACAGCACAACGAAACACTGCCGGATCCTGGGCCACCCTTACTACTTGAGTCCATCGATGCTGCCACTTGGCTAATCCATCTCGTTAGAGGTCTTCCTCTTTTTCTCTGACCCTCCACCTTAATAAACATGATATCCTTCTCCAATGACTAGTCCCTCCTGACAATATGTCCAAAGTATGAGAGACAAAGTTTGGGCATCTTGGCCTTCAAGGAGCACTCACTCTGGCTGCACTTCTTCCAAAATGGATCTATTGGTTCTTTTGGCAGCCCATTTCACTTTCAATATTCTCCTCCAACACCATAACTCAAAAGCTTCAATTCTTCTATGGTCTTCCTTATTCACTGTCCAGCTTTCAGATGCATATGAGGTCATTGAAAAATACCATGGCTTCGGTCAGATGCACCTTAGTCCTCAAGCTGACATCTTTCCTCTTCAACACTTTAAAAAGGTCTTGTGTAGCAGATTTGCCTAATACAATACATCGTTTGATTTCTTGACTGCTGCTTCCTTGAGCATTGATAGTTGATCTAAGAAGAATGTAGTCCTTGAGATATATCTATATATGTGCTTCTATGTGCTGCAAATATATGCTATATCCAAGGATATACTAGATCATATAAGGAGCAAAGTTTTGAAAACTTCTTAGCCATAACCAATCACCTTAAGGGATGAGTCCCTGGGGTTGGGATTTAGGACCACAGTCTTGAGGGACATCTAGGTCACTTGGCATAAAATATACAAACAGACAATGTTCTACCACATACTATGTAGAGTAGCATCTGGGATCTGACCTATAAGGTTCAGTTGCTCCCCGGGAACCCTATACTGGGTTGCTATGAGTTGGAACTGACCAATGGCACTTAACAACAAAACAACAAGTCATCTAAGGTGCAACTATTGGTTTCTTCCAATCTGGAGCAAAGAAAAGTGAAGAAAACTAAAGTCTTAATTAAACCATTATTCCAAAGGACAATTGAACCACATGAATGATAGCCTCCACTATCCTGAGTTCAGAAGAACTAAATGGTGCCAACTACCACTACCAATCCCTGTAATTAGTATCATAAGAGAAGTAAGAGAAGGTCCTGGAAAGAGTGGGAGAAAAAAATGGTGAACAAAATTCAAAACCATAAAAAAAATACAGTTACTGGTCTGATAGAGACTGGTGGAGCTCCTGAGATTGGGGTCCTTCAAGCCTGGAACTGAACGCACTCCTGGGGATCAACTTTCAGCTAAGCAATGGACAGACCTATGGTGTGAATAACAACACCAAGGAGGAATGTGTTCCTAAGAATAGTCAACTATAAGAGACCAAAAAGGACAGCATTTGCCAAATGCAAAGCTTGGAAGGTGGACGAGGACAGAAGAAAAGAGTGAATAGAGCTGAGGACTCTAGACTCATGGAAAGAGAAAGGCTGTATGCTGGCAGTCAGGTGCTGGTGGCCAGGGGACAGACTTGCAGGATGTGTCCTTTGGTTGTTTAAATGATTACATATTCCTGAGTGTTTTTGTGTACATCTCCCCACCCCCTCCAAAAAATCAGAGGGACTAGAAGCAAATACATTTGAATGATGATGCATAGAGGAGATTGTAATCACTGCAATGAAATGATGAATATAAAACTGATGTTCCCCCATGTAAACTAATTGCTCAATTCACAATAAAAACATAAATAAATTAATAAATTGACGCATAAAACCCAGATAGGAAGTGGGAAGAGTGCTAATTTGATTTGCAAACTCTTACCCCAACCACAACAAAAAGTTAAAAAAAAAAGATGTTTGCCTCTATGATACCCAAATGCCTTAAAATTTTTCCTTGGGTTTTGTGAGTTTTTCCTCTATAAAATCAGAAAAACTCAACTTTTTATTTGGCTGTAGTACGATTTTGTAATCAAGTAAACACTTTTATATGAAAAAAATAACATTATCCTAAAATAGAGATGCTGATAATTTCCATCAAAATGTAATTCCTCAAAATAGGAATTCCATAATGATTCAAACTCACCAGTCACTCCTCTAAAACCCTATACATGGTTTCTATGAGTCAGAAGCACCTCAACAACACTTAACAACAATGATACATACCTGGTATTCTTGATTTGTTTCCCGATTCTCAATTGCTTGAAAGAGCTCTTCACACAGATTTGGAATGATCCCCTTGTTTGCACCAAATCCAACCATGGAATAGCTTTTTCCAGAGCCAGTTTGGCCATAAGCCAGGAGGGTAGCATTATAGCCTTGCCAGGCATTGTTCAAAATTTCCCTGCCAAGATCATGGAAAACATCTCTCTGGAAAGAAGATCATAGGTGTCATGTTCAACACAGATCACTGGTACATATTCTTCCCTACTTTTCACAATATTCTTAAAATCTAACAAATATTTTGTTTTTGATAAAGTCCACTTTAATTTGTATCATATGACCTACTTGAAACATAATTCAGATATTCTTTTAGAACCAGTGGGATAAAACTGAAAATTAAAAGGGGTTTTACTCTATTCTAGATGTTAACGTGAAACACATTTATGGATCACACCAGGTATAATAACTTTAACTAGCTAATATCTATCATTCATAATTTTGTGTATTTTACAGCCTTGACTGACAAAATATGGGTTGTTGTTGTTGTTAAGTGCTGTTGAGTCAATGCCAACCCATAGCGACCCCCTAAAGGGTTTCTGAGGAGCAGCTGGTGAGCTTGAACCACCAACCTTGCAGTTCAAATGGATTTGCAGTCTGGTGCATTAACCCACAGTGCCACATC